CACACACACACTCTCTCTCTCTCTCTCTCACCCAGGAAGACTGAATTTCAAGCCAGGCTTTGAGGCAGGCTTTAAGTACCACTGCCAGTCTGGTAATTAACAAACATCACCCCTTCATTTCTTGTGGGGCTCATGCTATGCCTAACACCTGAAGGTGCACATTTACTAGACCAGAAATGTGCATCCTTTTTAGATATCCTTCACTAATCCGATATTCATCTCTCCTGTATGCTAGTTTGATTAACAAAGTGTCACACTCTTCTTTATAAAATGTACATTTATCATTGTCTAGCCAAAAACAGGCTTCCTGTGCCTCTTAGCATACCCACATGGAGGACCAGTAAGCAGCCTAAGTCAAATACTAATTCTCAGCCATTAACTCATTTAAGGGTGAAGAGATGAGCACTGCTCAAGTTAATCACTGTCTTCCTGACACAACCTTGGCTGAAATATAAAGGTTACATCAGAATTACAACTATACCAAATACTATAACACATACAGTTATGAGAATAATAAAAAACTGAACACAGTTTGGACTGGCTAAAATTAAAGACTAAACACAGAGTTAACCTAATTTGGGAGAGTATCCACATAGTGAACCCCTAGAAGTAACTTTGTTTTGGGGTGAATCTGTGACACGATCTAACATGGATAATTAAGGAAGAAAGAGTGATGTACCAAGTTAAAGATTAAATTTGAAATTAGAAAAAAAACCCACCCCAGTAACAAAAATGACAATACTCCAAATATTTAGTTGTTCGCCTTACACACACACTTGTCTACAATACATGCATACAACTTTCCTAGGTCATTTCAACACACAAAAACATTAATACTTCAGGTGTATTTAGAAGATTCTGAATTTAAGCCAACCCTAGTAGAGATGCTTCCAATGAAAAAAATTAACCTTTTTTTTTTGTTTTGTTTTTTATGGAATAAGCATGGTTGACAGGCTTTTCAAAAGGATATCATCTACATGGGACTCTTTTTCTGTTACTGAACGTTTTTCACACATTTCTTCAGCTTTGACATCAGACCAACTTCAAGTGTGAGAATCTATCTCTGAAAAACTAAACTCTCAGCTGATATCTCATAGTGGCATCGACCAAATCAAAAAAGGAAGAAGTTCCATTTTGCTAAGAACAAAATACAAATATTTCAAAGGATAATGGACAAAACTGAAAACTAGCAAAAAGGAATCCCATGGGCTGAACAAGACTCAGAGCTACTATTCTGAAAGCTTTACAACCACTCTGTGCATTGGGTTGAAGAGGGAAAAAATTATAGCCATAAAGAGAAAATAAAATAATCTAAGGGTCTCCATAATTAACCATTTTAATATACTTCCACAGTATCACTAAGCCACCTTTGACTATCATCAGATGGTCAGAGTGGGAACTCCAGCAGTTAGATCTCACTAACAGCCTGCATAGTAATAGTGTTGATAAATTAGCATTCATTTTCATTAGGTTTCTTACTGCAATGCACACTGAATTAGAGTATCAGCACAATTAAGACTCATAATGCAGCATACCTGCCAAGGCCTAATGACTGTTCCAAATAGATCTTATTCAAACAGTCCTAATGCAGTAAACAAATTATTCTTTTAATGAATTAACATAACACACCAGTCATATTCTATTTGATTGATCATTAACCTTCAACTACAACTGTACTTTAATAGCCTTTACATTCTCCCTCCTTTATGGGCAAATATAAATACATTAAGTTACAAGATACTTGGCCTAGAACCATCACTACTAAGTCACAGCACAAAGCCTTATTTGGCAATGAGTGATTTGTATCCTAACTTCTACAATGATTCACTATCTAGGATAAAATTTGTCATGCATTAATTCTTAATCACTAATTGCTGCCTTAATTAAAAACAGTACTTGGACAAACAGATAGTTTCTGAATTCAAAGTTAATTTGAAGCATCTCTCTTTCTCCAGGAAAGCTGCTGCTGCTTTGGTTTCTTATAAGCAGGAATAGAAAAAAAATGTCTATGATTTACATTGCTAAGAATTCCTGAATTGCTACAACTGACCTAACTTCTGAGCAGAGTATCCCAAAAGTTCATTTAACTGCAGCCTCAAATATAAACTGTTTACTTCATCATCGGAACAAAAAACCTGACTCAGTGTCCAAACACCAGCTTTCTTGCAATTGGCTGTAGGGTATTACAATATAAGTCAGTTGAGCTATTGGCAAGTCACTCACTAAAGGCAACTTCCAGCCCTAAAACTTCTGTGAAGCTGAACTGTTGCTTGCATAGCAGAAATAGGACCATGCCTACAAAGGACATGCTTGAACATACATAAAACAGAGTCCATTGCTTAATACATTGTTGCCAAACCGCCAGTTATGCAGGGTTACTATATTTCCAATTCCAAAAAAGAGGACACTTGTTTGGGGGGGGAGAAACGGGGGCGACCATCTCATTCCCAACTCACAGCCCATCCATCCCTGCAGCTGCCTCTCACTTCCAACCCACAGAACCCTGGCGCTACCAGTGCCCCTCACTCCTGATCCACAGTCCCCTGCGCCTCCCCCGCCGGCCATTCTGGCACCCTTCACTCCTGACCCGCAGCCCCCCTCCCCCAGTCCCTGCTGGTGCCCTCACTCCCAAACCAGAGTCCCCTGCTCCCCACAGCCCTGCAGAAGTGGGCCCCCAGCTGCTCCCATTCCAACCAAAGCAGAGCACAGAGACTTCAATTCATGTGGGCAGCAAGGGAGCAAGTTTGGCCCTGGCATGGGTGGGAGGGAAGAGGAGGGGAGGCCTGTGGCACCCTCTGCCATGGGCTGGGGTCCCCATGCTGCACCAGGCAGCCTGGCCATGCCCCCCTCCCCCTCAACAGCATCTCCTGGCCGCACCACCCCTGCGAGCAAGGGCACTAGGTCCTGTACTTCCAGCCTAACCATGGAGCTCCGCACTTCCACTGAAGCCCCTCCGTGCCCCATTCCCCTGCTGGATGGGCAGGCACCGCCCCCCAGCCCCAGCCTCAGCCTCAACACCCTGACAGCTTCCCCTAGCAGCCCAAGGCATTGCCCTCCCCTTGCACCCCCATGTCCCCTACACACCCCTGCTGCTCCCCCCCCACACTCCCCCCCTCCCTAGAGAGTCCAAGCCCTGGCCCTCCAATCCACCCCCACAGACTTAGCTGCTTCCAGCTGCTAAGGCTGCCTGGCTGCATGCTGGCCACTTGCGAATGAGCACGGTGCCCCCTGCCCCCAGTTACCCTCCACCTGCTCCCACCAGTGAAGCAGAGCAGAATCCTAGACATTGGTTCAGATTTTTTTAAAAAAATCATTGGGATAGGGATCAGAGGATCCAAAAAGAGGACATGTCCGGGAAAACCCAGATGTATGGTTTGCTTACTGTTTGTTTCACACATGCTTCGAGTTTAGCATTGAGTTCTGATGAAACATGCTCAGCCCTGTTCCCTTGTCAGGGCTGCCTCATTAAGCTAGAGTCACATTCCTTGCTTTGTGCATGCTTTCTTTTTGGCCCAATGATTTTTGCAGTAGCAGGGACTCTGGTTAACTTTTTTATTAAAGCTCACTCTCAAACTGATTCAACACGTGGACTATTGTAATGAGCTACAAGAAACATGCTGTAGAAATCTGTTTGTTGTTCCGTTATAAGAGAGGATCTGGGAAAAGTAGTAAGGTTAGTGCACCACTGATTCATCATACAGATTCAGTGATTATAACCACTGAGTCAGAAGGCAGAAGTCTAGTTCTTGTGATTTGTAACTAACTGTCTTCATCTGCTGGTGGTAAAAAATAAATCCATTTGTCTTGAATAGTATAAAGGCACTGTAAGATTTTCCAAGTGTCCAAGAAAGTTTCACACCCAAAAATTAATGGGAAATGAGAATCCAAATCGCTTAGCATCTTATAATGTAACTTCAGTTAAAAAGCTTTACCAGCTGCAAGTCAGTACACCCCAAACACCCTCAGATACTTTGAATTTGAATTTTCACCTAACCAGTAAAATTAAAAACAAACACCACACCCTCAGCATCTCTAAGCAAAATGACTTAACAGCTGTTAAGCCACTAGATACTAGTTACCCACAAGTTAGATACTGAGATGCAGTCCCTCAGGGTATGGATTTAAAAAAAAAATCAAGTTCAGATCATAGAAGAGGAATTTAAGAGGCACTCATTTGTTTTTCTGTTTGGCACCATAAAGACACTAAATTCTCAGACAAAGCCCAATAAAACAAATATCCAGACAGATAAAAAAAATAGTCCTCTGCCAACAATGTTTATGGAATTTTTCATCGAACCATATTGTACCTCTTGCAATAATAGATAACAGCTAAAGCCAAAAGTGTGTCAGATCAACCTAAGGAGTCCACAGCTTAACAATGTCCAATCATGGATGCAGATTAGAAGTACACTTCTCTGTTCAAATCCTGATTTTTCTTTCAGGCTTAGGAATTGTAAAGAACAGAAAACAAACATAGGTTCACACTTGATACAAACACCATGGTTCTAAATGCTGAAGGGGAAAGACATTACATGTTTGTAGTCACAGTTTCAGGATAATAACACTGAATAAAAATCAACTATCCATTCACTGACTCCTCTGCAGGAAACAAATTGGTAAAACATTTAAAGATGCAATTTATAAATTCAAATTGCATCTCTGTTGTACCTTTTTTCAATTCTTTTAATAAACAGAAAGGTAGAAGGCCCAAGCCTTATATTTTAGAAACCCAACCTGAGATGCCTTTCAGGGGCTTCATTTTCAGAGTTTTTAGAGTGGTCAGTACTTCCATCCTGCCACAAAAGAGACAGACATCTGAAGCTGGTTTCCCAAGAAGTGAGGCACTCCCAATCAAAACCTTCTCTTGAAAATTTAAGCCAATAAGTAAATACTAGACGTCTATCATAAAACACACATAGAAGCTGAAGTCAAGTTAATCCCCCACTCCTTTTTTTCCACTACTGAACAACTCCCGCAGTTTGACAAAGAACTATTTCTACCTTGCGGTCCCTAAATCCAGAACGTTTCTTCTTCTTCCCTTCTGGCTGAGCCTTTTCACCACTTGATTCAACTGCCTGCCTTCCATCAACCTCACTGCTCTCCTCTTCCTCCTGGTCCTTCTCTTTCTCTTTAGGGTCTGTCCTTGAATTGTGTTTTACAGATGATGGCACTTCTGCATGGACCCTGAAATAAAACAGGAAGAAAACACCTGTCAGTTCAAGAAGTTAAACAAGATCCATGTGACAATTTAAGCAATTTTTAACACTGTTTTAAGCCAAACTGGCAACATGGAGAAAAACAAGACATTTTATTGTAAATTACTCAGTGTAAATTCCTAAAAGCAATGTCCATCCCCCACTGCTTGTCTGTGCAACACATAATATAAGAGGGCCTTAGCACGAACTTCGTTATACTGGAAAAGCATTTACTCCTCCTCAAGCTTCAACAAACAGTACAGTATGGCCCAAAAGTAGCAGTGTTATTGCGCCTGTCTCGATTCGAAAATCCGTTCGCGTGCTGCCTTGGTGCGGGCGCCTGGTGATAGATGCTGGGAGGCTTCGTGTAACCTCTGGTAGGGGCCTAGATCACCCGAGGGAGTACCCCAGAACTCGCCTGCCACAACTTTGGATGTAACTTCAGTGGTGGGGTCTCCCATTGGAGGTCCCTCAAGGTCGGAAGTTCCTCCCGACGGATATTCGCGGGGCTCCACCTCCCCTACACCCCTTCCATACGCCAGCCTACAAAGGGTCACCTGATGCCACTGTGGCTTGCCCTCTGATCTTGATGGTCTCCACGCTCAAGTACCAGGTCATATTTCCACCTTAATGACATACTCTCTGGTCCGTGGATTCGTCTCTCAGGTTCAGTGCTGGTTACTGATTACTTCCCGTGAGTGGCCCTTGTGGCCTGTTATGCCTCCCAGACCTCACAGCTCAAAGCTCTCACCCATGGTGCGCAATGAATAAAAAGGAAAACACAAACACAAGGCAACTCCATGCTGTACTTAAGAAGAAACAACAAAAGAAAATAATAAGACACAACAAAAGGGAAGACTCGTGGGAAAGAGGAAGATCAAGGGGAACAGTCCCTCTTCTCTCCCTGCCCTGTAGCCTGTGCCTGGCCATATCCCACAACGCTGCTCCCCTCTTTGCCTCTGGTGAGAGTTCCTTCTGCTACTCTCCCAGTCGATTCCCCACCTAAAGTCCCCTGCAGCCAGAGCCTGGAGCGCGGAACCGCCTTGCCTTCCTCAGCCTCCGCCGCTTGCTTTGGGACAGAGTCTTCTCCCATGCTTTGATGATGCCTGCAACTGGCATGCAGGCTGTGACCAGCTGCTGCTGCTGCTGGGATCATCCCTCCTGGTTCGGGACTTTCTTCGACTCGCTGGCGCTGCCTGCCACTGGTGCACAGAACCCCTGCAGCCTCTGCTGCCTCTCCCGCTCTCCTCATCTCCCTGCTGAAGCCCGCTTTTGAATCAGCTGGCTGGCATATGTCCCCGACATCACCTGCTGGCTTCAGCTGTATATGAGCACGGCTAATAAACCGCGTGGGTTTTTCTTCTTGGCGTCGTTCTGTTGGTGTTTGGCAACCTAAAGCAGGTGTGTGTTCTTTGATTTCAGGGTCTCTCTTCTGAATTTGGGTTCCCCCCGTGCTTATACCCCTGGAACAGTTATTATATATATGGAGATGTGGAAATCAATATATATATAAAACAATCAATATATATATTGATTTCCACATCTCCATATACAGACACTTAGCATCAAATTTAACATTTGGAAGGAGGGAATACTCTCAAGTAATTCAACAGCAGTAGCTAAGAGATGGGCTCTGAAGAGCCTTATACAGACTTCCTTAACTGGAACACTACCTACAGTTCAGAGTCTGGAGGATTGTAGAGATAAGACAGGAGTGGGGGTGGAAATGGGGAGGGGGAAACCAAGATATTTAAGGAAGCACAGATGTTTCTTTTGCCTCCTTGGTGGAATTTATGCACCTCTAAGAGGAAAAGAGAGAAAAGTTATTTCACGTCTGCTTATCTTGTCAAAAATACCCAATATACATAAAATCCGTTTTTCCAGAAAAAACAGGAAGAAAGTATTCCAAATGCAAAATGTGCAGTTTTAAGAGCCTAGCAGCTCTTAAAAGCCTCTAGCAGCTTTAAGAGCCTTACTCAAAAATAAGACAAGACAAAATAATGAAGGACCCAGAAAGTTTATTTTATCTTCTGTACTCTACTTTTTTAAATGAACGCAGCTTGTATGATTTACTTTAGATCTGAAAGAGGTGATGGGCTCTTTTTTTTTAACCAATAAAATTACTGCATTTGAACAGTATAGGATCCATGATAATGAAGACTGAAATTAGTAGTTTCCTATTTGCTGGTGTAAATACACACAGACAGAGCACAGGGGTCCTCTTCTTGCTGTGCAAATCAATGATTCTCTTTGTGAATAGAGAATCTCAGTCTTCATGTTTGCTCTTTCAGTCTTACAGCCAAACCACTGAACAGTGAACACTCAAAGCAAATCGGAGCATAAAAGTTAACTGTAGACTACAACCTGTATAAAAGAGCAACGCATTCCACAACAGAAAACAATGCTGAATTTTTAACATACCATTTTTAAAATGCATAGTGTTACATACATCTCAGACCAAAACACAGCATAGCATACACTTTCTTCCTACCAAAAAATACCAGACACACACAAGACCCTAAGATCTCAAAAACTTTAGGTAAATAGAGATTCATATTTTGTTTCCTACTTTCATTCATAGAACACAGATGGGTTTTGTAAAAGAACAAAGTTATAGGGAAAAAAAGAGGTAGCCGACCAGGGGAGAACAACTGATTAAAAAACAAAACAAAACAAAAACTTGCCAGCTTTGTGTTTAGTGTCCCTGCTTCTTGTAAAAGAGGATATAGAGCAAGCACTACTTCAAACTTTAATAAAAAAGGTCATTCCTGTCTTGCTGTTCCTGATAAGTCACACTGACAGCTATAACAATTGTCAGACTTGGAAGTAGTAATAAATTCAGTCATTACACAGTCCTTAAGAAAGGAAAGTACTATACTCTATAGAAACACTTCCAAAGCAGCATTAAGAGAAGAAAAAATAATTGTGAATGCAAAGTAACTTTGCAACAGGTAGCATAGAAGCTAAAGATCTAAAATGTTCTAGTAAGGAAAGTAAGAGACCTTAGTCGGTTTTCCCATGCCATAAATATTTCATATTTCAAAAGTATTCCTGTTCAACATCAGGACAAAGAGACTTTTTCAAAGTGTTACATGAAAAGAAACATAAGCACCGGAACAACCAAGAGCCTTGTTAAAGTATGGAATGCAAAAGGAGTGCAAAAGGAGCCAATTTCAGTTGTTTTGCCCATATGAGGTAGGACTTGAACCTGGACATCCTGTTTCCCCAGATAAGTACCCTAAAAATCCAGCTATTCAATTAATTGGTATATCTTAAGTTTCCACCATTTTTTCTGATAAAAACTTAATTGGTATATTTTAAGTTCTCTCTCCATCCTGGAGCAGAAAAAAACCTTTGGTGGGGGATGGAGGGGCAGGGGCAGGGAATTTCATCAATTCTAGCACATCCCTGTAAAAGTTTTGATTCTAATAAATCAAAGATTTAAAAAAAACAAACAGATTTTGTTGCATTCTAAAGTTTCTAAGCAACTGTATTCTGCACTGTTATGCAGAAAATTATGATTTAATTTTTCTCCCAGTCTTTTTAGCCTGATTTATGATAGCACATTCTGGGTTATTATCAGTTAAATATGTGACTGCACTACCCTGTTAACAATAGCATAAGTACTTACACAGAAATACCTGAACTGTTTGCTAAGTTGTTTCCCCAAATCTGATTTAATTTGTATATATGCACTAGTAGTAAAACCTTCCTCAATACCAACAGAGCTTCTTCTTACAGAATTTGCTACTGTGCATATTTTACACCATGTCAGACCCTGGTAGAAAATGCTGGGCCTGGGACAGGGGCTGCCCAGCCAGGGTGGCGGGGCGTGGGGAGCAGGTGAAGCGGCTTCCACAGCTGTGCGCTGCTAGTCCGGAGGGGGTGGGAGGGGGGCATGTAACCCCGGATCTGTGTGGGGCGGGCAGGCAGGCGGGGCCAGGGCTGTGCCAGGCTGCCCTCTGGGCACCACGCTGCCTCCAGGCAAGCAGCACGCAACAGCCAGAGCCCTCCTGGCCCCACCCCGACCCAGCTGGGCGAGCAGCAATACGGCATGGGGGGGTGGGGCATGTGCCCCCAGATCTGCGTGGGGCAGGCAGGCCTGGGGCAGTGCTCTGTGCGGGCAGCAGGTGCTACAGCGAATTTTAGGGTGGCTACAGCCTCCCCCATAGACTGCACCCGCCCTGCCCCTATCCAGGGGCACATACCCCTGCCATGCCCTGCCGCTCACCCAGCCAGGGCAAGCAGGACAAAGCTGCGGCTCATTCAGGAGGCGCAGGGAGGCTGAGGCAGCTCCAGCTGTTGCACGCCACTTGTCCATAGGCAACGCAGCAACTCTGCCCCACCCTGCCAGGGTAAGCAGGAGGGCATAGCCCCCACTCCCAGTGCCTTCCCCCGGCTACCCAGAACACAGCATGGCGCAGCCCTGGCCCTGCCCACCCCATGTAGATCCAGGGGCGTACAGCCCCCTCCGCCCCATGCCCCTCCGGGCTGGTGGAGGGAGCAGCGGCAAGAACTGCCAGACAAGCAGCTCCTGGACCAGCAGCCCGCAGTGGCGGGGGGGGCGCCCACCCAGCCGCCCGCAGTGGCGGGAGCCGCCCAACCCTTCCCTGTGCCCCCACTCCCCCAGCTGGTCATCCCTTTCCCTAGGCCCTGTCCTAACCCCCACTCCCCAACCCCTCCCTCACTGCAGGGGTGTTGATCTGCCCCCCACCCAAATCACAACAGACTTATAGCTGGAGGCAGCTGCATCGTGTGTGGTAAAGAAGCCAATCTCCCATTTATAACATTGTCCCTATGGGAGAATTGGTTCTGAGTTACAATGTTTTAACTTAAGACATGATTTTCAGGAACCAATTGCATCATAAGTCTGAGGACTGCCTGTACTGTGAAACATTGATTCACCTCCTGTGATGGTGAGACAAGGCTCAAAAGTCCTCACCTTGGAATACTGGGAACAAGTCTTCTAGAGGTCTTGGCTGGTTTTAC